AAAAAAAAAAGCTTATCACCAAAATAATCAACAACCCAAAAAAAAAACACAAAGCGAAAGAAGGAAAGAAAAAAGCCGCGCACTTAACGACTTATATTTTTCTTATTACGAAACACTTTATATATATAATAATATATATATACACACACAACAACAACAACAACAACAACAACAACAACATATATTATTGTTATTTTAACGACTTAAAAATCCACCCGCCACTGTATTATATATATACAACAATAATATATATTAAAATAAAAAAAAAAAATTATATATAACGAAATGTTCAACGGTCAATATAATCAACCTCACCAGTCTCCTAGTGCACAACGGAATAATTATCCTCCATATCAAATTAGTCGTCAGTTTCCTCAGACTGGTTTACATAATGGTTCTCAGTACAGCACGATCGGTAATTATAATAACAGTAGAAATGTTGATATGCGTTATCCTGCCGCTGCAGCTGCTGTTGGTCCTCTTCCAGGTCACCCTTCACAATATAAACATGGTTCTGGTTGGGGAACTGGTGATATAAATGCTTCAGGAATTTCTTCAGGGAATGGTTCTTTAACGAATAGTTTAACTTATGGTACAAATAATACAAATACTGCTAATAATCCTGGTAATTTTGCTGCTCAAGCAAATCCTAATATGTTCGGTGCTACTGCTCAAGCTCAACAACCTCAAAGTTCACGAAGGATTCAACAAGGATCTGCAAGTATGCCTTTAAGATTAGGTTCCGAGGCTCATTATCAACAACCAACTCATCAATCCTCAATTGGTACGTAATAATATATTATTTATATTTTTTATATATTTAATAATGACGGATCCGTCGATCTTTTTAATTTAAGCTATGCAGAAATAAAAAAAAAATTCTATTCTATTAATTATTATATATCATATCATATATATATATATATACATATATATATGTATGTATATATATTTCATATATATATTATTATTATATTTATGTATATATACAGTATATATATATATATATATATATATTTTTTACCCATTTTTAACTCATTTTACCACATCTTACTAATTTAAACCTTTTTTTAACCTTTTTTTTTTTTAAATCTCGCTCTTTTTATAATCAATTGATTTTGATTTTAGCTGCAGGTCATACACCGCAGCAACCGGCAGCATTATCTTCAATATATTCTCCTACTGCTCAAACTGCTGTTGCACAACAACAACAAAATAACAATTTACTCGCTTTACCTAATCCAACTCAAAATGTTACAGGTTCAATACTTAGGCATCCTCAACAACAACAACAATGGTCCACTATGGATTTACATTCTTATAATTATAGAAATCAACCTGGTACTCAAATTGATACTTTAAATACTTATAGTGTTGTTACAGCTGATGATGCATCTGAATTGGATGATAGTCTTACAATGGATAATACTATGGGTGCTACCCCTTCTTTAGCTACAAATACTCCTTCTGCTCAATCTTCTATATCACCAAATAATCAACAAGCTTATTTAGGAAGTACTTTAACTCATCGTTATGCTAATCAACAACCTCAAACTAATCCATCTCAAGCTCATCATACTAATCAACGTCAACAGGTTCAACAACAACAGCAACAACAACAACAACAACAACAACAATCACAACAACAAAATCGTCGTTATAATGTTCCTACTTCTTCCCCAAATACTTCAATTAGTAGTATAACGGATAATGTTGGTTCTCCTTCAATTGCTAGTTCTATCACTCCTAAACGTTCTACTACAAATGATTCAAATCCTACTGTTTCTGTTGCTGCTGCTGCTGCTTATGGTGCTACAAATCAAGGAAGATCAATGTATAATAGTAATGCTTATATAATTAATCAACAACAATCTTATGCTACTCAGCAACAACCAAATACTTTAAGATCTCCTTATGCTCATGAAAGTTATATTTCTCCTAGTAATGTTGGTGTTGGTTTAAATACTGGTAGTTATTCTCAACAGAATAATACTTCTAATAATCAACAATCTCAACAACAACATTTACAATCTCAACATTCACATCAACAACAACAACAAATTCATCAACAACAACCTCAACCTCAACAACATCAATTACAAAATTTATCTCATCAACAAACTCGTAATCAATACGCTCAACCTTATACTTCTCCTCATATGAATCCAAATCAAATGAATCAAAGATCTGTAATAAGTCCTAATACTGTTCAAAATGCTAAAACTTCCCCAAGATTAACAAAATCTGCTGTAAAACCTTCAATACAACCGGGTACTCAGGTTTTACCTCAACATTTACAATCTCAACAAGCTCAACAGGCTCAACAGGCTCAACAGGCTCAACAACAGTTACATCAACAATCTTCTCAATTAAGTCATCAATCACAGATTCAACAACAACAGCAACAACAAAAGCAACAACAACAACATTCTACTCCAATACATCAACAACAAGCAATACAACAACAGCAGATGCAACAATTACATCATTCACAAACGATGCATCATCATCATCAACAACAGCAGATACCTCAACAGCATTCTGAACAATCCATGTCACAGATACAAATGCAACAACAAATGCAACAAAAATCTAATCAAACTCCTCAAAATAAGATGATGAGAAGTAATGCTCAACCACCTCAACAACAGCAGCAACCAAATACCTATCCACAAAATCAAATGGCCTCAATTTCAAATCAAACCAAACAAAAATCTTCTCCAATGATTTCAGCTTCATCTTTACAAAAGAATAATTCTATAACGCAGCAGCAACAACATCATCATCAACAGCATCAACAGCAACAACAACAGCAGCAACAACAACAACAACAACAACAACAACAACAACAGCAGCAGCAGCAGCAACAACAGCAAGTTCAACAACAGCAACAGCAACAGCAGCCGCAATCACAACCACAATCACAGCAATCCGCTCAAGAAATGAAGAATTCCGCGGCTCCTAATGCACCTACTGGTTTACCTCCACAAAAAGATCATAAACCAAAGAGACCAATGAACGCTTTTATTATCTTTTCGAGTGAACGTCGTCCTGAATTACAAAAGAATGACCAGAATATGCAAACTGCTCAAGTTAGTAAAATTTTGGGTGATGAATGGAGAACTATGGACAATGTATGTATCGAAATGATCCGATAATTTATTTACTCATAAATTTTAATTTATATTAATCAATTCATTTTATTAAATATATTAGGAACGAAAGGAACATTATAATGAAAGAGCAAGACAGCTCAAGGAGGAATTTAAACAGACAAATCCTGGTTTTATATATACTCGTCGTGGAACCACGGCCGCTTCAAAAAAGAAAGGTTCCATTTCCTCTACCACATCATCGACTACTCCTCCAACAACCAAATCTCCCAGTACTTCTTCTATAGCGGTTCCCCCTCAAGCTGGAAACAACGTTTCGATGGTAAGTTTACAACAGAATGCCCATTAATCATTTGTATTATGCCTATTATATTATTATATAATCTAATTTTTTCTTATTTATTTTTATAGCCTAATGGTTCAATTAATGGTGTACCTCAACGTAATAATAACAATAATACGTTCCCATCTTCCAATAATAATGCATCTTCATCGACGCCAAATACAAATAATCAACGAAATTCACCTAATATGAATAGACAACAACAGGTATGTATTATTTAAAAGTTTTTTTTAAAAAAAAAATTTTTTTACTAATGATATTTAAATTTAATTTCCATCTCAACAATAGCCACAACAACCGGCACCATCAAATCCACCAAGACCTGCACAACAATCGGTTGTAACTCCTTCTGTAACTCCAGCACAGACTGCAATTAATAGCAGAAAAGACCGTAAATTAAAGAGACCAATGAATGCATTCTTGATCTTTAATAAAGAAATGCGTCCAAGAGTGTTGGAAACGAATCCTAATATGACTGTGGCTGAAATTTCAAAAACAATTGGTGAAAATTGGCGTGGAATGTCTGAAGTAAGTTATACTAGAGTTATATACGTATTTAATAATTTTTTTTACAAGATATTTATTTACCTTTGTCTTTTTACAATTTTATAGGAACAAAGAGAGGTTTATCTTGAAAAAGCTAGAAATTTGAAAAGTGAATTCCACGAATCAAATCCAGATTTTGTATATACACGTCGATCAAAAGCTGAACTCGCGGCAGCAGGTCATCATAGTTATTCTAAGAAACGTAATTTCGGACAAGTTGATCAAAGTGAAGAATCAGATGATGGCGGTGAACATCCACGTGGAACTTCGCATAGTAATCATACCGATGCTCCACCAGCAGGATCTCCAGCTAAAGATCCTCGAGGACGTAAGAAAAAGCGAAATCGACATCCAACTGCGCCAAAACATCCAATGTCAGGATTTTTGTTCTATGCATTAGAAATGAGACCACACGTTGCAGAACAAAATCCTGGAAGCACGGTTGGGCCTATCAGTAAAATTATTGCAAGCCATTGGAAGAATTTAACCCCTGAAGAACGAGCAAAATGGGAGAAGCAAGCTTCTGATGATAAAGCAAGATATGCTAGAGAGATGGAAATATATTTACAAGGACAAAAGGATGAGGAATGAGTGTGATTAATTTTTGATTATTAATTAGGTAAATAAAATTTAAAAAAATAATAATGGAAATTCAAAAAAAAAAAAAATTGCATTTACATACATACATTTTCCCGTAGTTTTCTTTTTTTGTTTTAGTATTTTTTTTTCTTTTGTTGACGAATAAGTTTAAAATAAAAAAAATTCGTCGATATTGTATATTTTTTTGGTTATATATATATATTTTTTTTACCGTTTTTTTATAGTTACTAAAAAAAAAAATTTCATTTTTTTGCATACAACAAATAAACAAAAGTTGTAAATTTTCTTTTTATTTGTTTGTATAATTATTATTACTTAATAGAGAGATGCAAAAAAATAATAATAATAAAAATAATCGGATGTGTAAAAAAAAAAATTGTATAAAAAAAAAAAATTCAATAATATTAATATTAATTTTAATTTTTAATAGAAAATACTTCTCGTTCTATGAATATCAACTTTAAAATTAAGTTTATTTTCATTGGCGAAATCCCAAATATAAAAATCTAATATAATAGCATTGCTATTCGGAATTAAATCTAAAGTATTATCTTGTTTAATTTTTTGTTGAATTAATCTTTTTATTAATTCAACAGACCAAATTGAGCATCCTTTTTTTTATAATAATATAAAATTTAAACATGTCATTAATTTTAAAATTTTTTTTAAAATTGACAATTTTATTTTTGTATTACTTACCTCTGATTTCAATTTCCAATTGTGATCCATTTGGTAATAATGTGAATGAATTTAATATATTATGTAAGTTTTGTGAATATGATAAAGCACCTAAATGAAAAAGTGCCTAAAAATTTAAAAATACATATTTTAAAAATATATATATGTATGTATGTATGTATAAATATATATTGTATGTATGTGTATATATATATGTGTGTATGGTATGTATGTATATAAAAAAAATATGTATTATTATTAGTACTAAATATAAATAAATAGATAAATAAAATAAAAATAATCATTTTACCTGTGGAACCCTAAAAAAAAATAATAAAATAGGTATTTAAATTTTAAAGTTAATGCATAATTCCATAAAAGTATAGAAAAATGAGTATTTTAAATAATATATTTGTACCTATAATCTGCAAACATTGTGATATCATCAATATCATTAAAAGAACCATAATTATGTCCTTCAAAACATGCCCTTTTTTTTAAATTAAAAAATATTAAAAATATTTTAATATTTTAAAAAAATTAAAATATTTAAAATAAATAAATTAAAAGAGAAAAAAAAGTAATTTATATTTTTATATTGTTAATTTAAATTAAAAAATGTAAATTTAAAATTGTTTACCATATATCAGCAATTAATATTTGAGCTCGTTTATATAATTGAACTAAAAAAGAAAAGCAATATAAAAATTTTAATTTAAAAATTATTTTAAAATTAAGAATTGAATTAACATAAAAATAAATAAAATTAAATTAAATTAAATAAAATAAAATAAATAATTAAATAATAATAATAAATATAAAAATACATATATATATATATATATATGTATATATATACACGTTAATTAATTACCTTTCCTTCCAAGAAATTCACATTCATCACGAAAACATTCAAAATTATCGGTAATAATTTTTAATAATTTCATAGCAGAATTATTTGACTGTTTAATACAATTAATAAAACTACCATCGAATTTCTTTTAGAATAACGAAAAAAAAAAAATGCATTAAAATTCGAAAAAATGGTTCAAAAGTTAAAAATATTAAAATTTCGAAAAAAATAAAGTTCATAAAAATTACCTCTACCAAAATTTTACCGGCTTCTCTCATACAATTAATACGTTCTTGTAGTAAAGGTATTCCTTCACTTGTATGAGAACGAAAAATATATTTGATTTTATCATCACTTAAATTTTCCGATGAAGCATAAACGGATGGATTGGTAATTTGAATCCCTTCATCAATCGCTAAATTATTTAATACAGATAAGTGTTATATACATATGCAGTATTTACTAATATATATACACATTATATATTTGGAATACCTCTATTAATTGCTGCACATAAGGACCAGTATCCTGTATATATTTTATCCTTATGATATATAGAAAATCTTTCTTGAATATTTGAACCTTTTTCCTTTTCTAAATCTGACCAAAAAGAAAAATTTAACAAATCGACAAGAAATATCCTATAAATCAAACATCAGACAATCATCAAACATCAACAAACATCATCAAACAATCATTTAACATCATTAAATAATTGAAATTAATTTTAATAATAGAAGAATTTTAGAATATTAACCAATTAATCGCATCTTCGTTAGCAACTTTTGGATGAAGTTCGTGCTGTTTCCATACTGATATAGAATATTTCAATTTTTTCATATTTGAATAGATCTGATTATAAATAAAAAGTTGATTCTGTCAAGTAATTTTAAAGAACAAATTAAAGGATTCAATTGATCCCAAATTATTTATTGATAGAGTTACCGTATTTGCCGCTTCTTGGATACTGTCTTGAGGAATGAAGACATCCTTTGAATTCTAAAAATAGGACAACGAGTTAAATATTCATTGTTCCTAAATTTATTTTTTATAAAACCCGTTACAAAAAGTACCTTACTAATGAAATAAGCACTTTCTAATACAGGGTTAGCATATTGTTGAACCTCACTTTCACCAATGACCGAGTCCATTATTATAGACAAAAAAAAAAAAATAGATAAATGTTAATCCCGATTTATTATTACGTATCAGATATTGTTTATTGGACAATGGATCAAGTAAAATGAAGTAATAAATACTTATTACATACATTTATTTATATGCATACATATTTTTTTTTTTCTTTTTGAAATTATATCGCGAATTGTAAAACTTTATGATCTACCGTGCAATTTATTTCGTCCTTGTTTAGCATTAATCGCATAAACACGCTTTGTTATTTATATATTCGGATATAAATATTTATTTTTATGGAAAAATAAACTTTTTTTCATATGCAATATATGCAATCGAAATAATTTACTAATCGGGATAAAGCAAAAAGTGCGGTAGGGAAGTGCGGAAACTTTAATAACTGCTAACTTAAATGTTAAATGATGTTAAAATGTTGAAAGAACCAATCTCTTTTTTTATTTAACCATTTGAAAATATTATGATTCCAAAATAGTAATGGTAATAAAGTTTATTGATAATGTAATGTGGTGGTTACATCATGTACACCTTATACTATATTGGTTCAAATCAGTTGAAATTATCATTTATCAACCCCTCATCCCGAAGTTCTTTTTTTACTTTATTTTTATAATACTCTGTATAATAATGAGCGGCGTAATATAAAAACTACAACAACAATGATCATCGAATCACCATTAACATTCGGAATTTTCAACGTTTTTTTTTTTTAGATAAAAAAAAAATAAACCTCTTTTTTCCTCGAAACAAAGAATTCTTTTTTCTTGCAAATTTAGTTGTTTGACGCGTCTTTTTATTTTTTCCTTTAATTTACTACTCTATAAATTAATTTACATTCATTCATTCCTTTTTTTTATCCTCACTTAATTCCCTCAAGCTTTTTTTTACACACCATTTTTTTTTACTTTTACACGATAAAATCTACCGTTTAATGGGTTGTGTTACTTCTTACCTTGGTTCCTCTTCTTCAGAAAGACTTTCTCCAACTTCTGAAATACATACTAAAAGTTTAACTTCCCTTCCTACAACAACTATACCAACAAATGTTTCGACTTCCGATATAGCTTCAAATACAAAAGCCCGGTTTGGTACTTGTGTGAATTGTTCTTCTCCATACATTTCGTATAATTGGTGCCGTAATTGTGCTTTTCCCGGTAAAGAGAAATGGACTACGGGTAATACGGCATTGGATAATTTCATCATTTATACTCAAGAAATATCCCCGGATTATGAAACATATTTAGAATGGATTCCATATGAAAAATTTACCGATATAAAAGAAATTAGCAAAGGAGGTTTTTCTACAATATATGAAGCTATCTGGACAGAAGGTCCCAAAAGAAATTTTGATACTTCCAATAGACAATGGTGTAGAATAGGAAATATAAAAGTTATTATGAAATCATTACATGATTCTCAACAAATTACTGAAGATTTCTTAAATGAGGTAAAAATTTTTAATTTTAAATTTTATTTATTTTTTTGTGAATGGTATGAAATAATTCTTTTTTTCTTTCTTTTTTTTAAAAGATTAAAAAATATTATCATTGTAAAAATCGGGAAAATTTAATCGGATATTATGGTATTTCACAAAATCCAAAAACAAAAGAATATATTTTAGTAACACAATTTGCAATTAATTTAGATATACGTACATTCATTTTTACAAAATGTTCAAATATTAATAATTCATTAACATGGAATGATAAAATAAATATACTTAAATCCATAGCGGAAATAATCAAATCATTACATAATGAAAAAACTCCACAAGGTGGAAAATTATTTCATGGTAATTTGCATCCTGGTAATTTATTAATAAATATAAACCAACTAAGTGTTTTAGAAGAATCAATTTTATTAGATTTAGTAAGTTGTTGGAAACCACCCACTACTTTAAGTTCCGTTCAACAACAATTAAAAAAGTCACCATCATCATCATCATCAAATAATTATTATAATAATAATAATTTTTTATTATATGGTGTATTACCTTATATTGCTCCAGAAATTTTAAGAGGTGAAAAAAAATCTCAGTCAAGTGATATATATAATTTTGGTATGATAATGTGGGAATTATCAACACTTTCTTTACCATTTTTTGATAGAGCTCATAATTTAGAATTGGCTATAGAAATTTGCGAAGGAGTACGCCCTGACCCTTTGCCTACAACTCCCGAATTTTATTTTGATTTAATGGAAAGATGTTGGGATGACGATCCTTCATTAAGACCAAATGCGGCTGAAATTATTCGTATATTAGATATGAATCAATTATATTTAAAATATAGTGAACAAACAATGAAAGTTGTTGAACATCAAGAACATTCTACAACGAAAACAAAATTATCAAAAATTACCAAAAATGTTATTAAAAATACTTCATTTATAAATACTGGTGGTTTAAGAGATGTTATGAGAAAAAAATTTAAAAAAGATGATTTTCATAAAAATATTCATTCTGAAGCTTATTATACTAGTAGAATATTTGATTTTTCTCTTAATAGATTATCAGTTTCTTCTAATTCCAATAATTCTTTTATGGCCGGTACTTCTGATGATTTTGGTGAAGGTAATTTTATTATATAATTATATAATTATTTGTAATGTGATTTAAGAAAAATTAATTTATCTTAACATACTAACTTAAATATTCTCAATTAGAAACAGGACAATCTAGTCTTGCAATTTCTGAAATGGGTTTAGGTATGTTTTCTCTTTTTTTTTCCTAAAAAAAAAATTTTTTTAGTATCATAATGTCTTACCTTTCTTTGATCTTGTAGATGATGTAATTGAAATTTCTGCTATAGATTATACTCTATCCAAAGATTCTAAAGGAAAGAAAAAAGCTTAAATATAATAATCAATACATTAATTTATCTACCGCTCAAAAAAAAGAACATTTTACACATTCATATATATATATATATTCTCAAGTTGTATATAACACATCAGATGTATTATATTATAATATTTTATTTTTATTTAATTCTTTATGATGGTTTGGCATCTTTTTAATTAATATATATATTCATATATAATTATTAAAATTTTTTGTAATAATATTTTTCATAGTACACCCTGCGAAAATCCTTTTACAAAAAATTGAACATTATTATCTAATATTTTATAATGTAATGTCGAAGGTCTAAACCATTTATCTTGATTTCTTGGTCCACGAGCAATCGTTATCTGTTTTTTTTTTAAAAAGAAAAAAATATTTGACATGAACAAAATCAAATAAAGCGTTAACGTTGATACTATTTAGGTTATTATCACTTACTTCGCCTGATACATCTTTTGAAAATCCTGAACCTAATCCTCGAACTGATAATAAATATTCTGATTGGTATATTAATGACTTTAAAAAAATTTCTTGATCTAATTCATCATCCAGAGAAGATTGTGTTATATCTTCGTCTGCATGAACTAACATTACAAGTGATCCATTATACTAACAATGTATAATTCAAAAAAAAAAAAGAATAATTTATTATATAATTCCAAAAAAATAATAATTTCTTCAATTATCACATACCTTCTCAATCATCATACGGCACGCTTTAACAAATTCGAGTATATCTCTTACACTAAATCCCGAATATATTAATACTGAAAGATCATCAAAAATCAAACAAACACGTGAATCATCAATCGATGAATGACGAGTTTCAATTATTTGTTTAATTATTTTATAAAAATTATGTAATGATTCTTTTGAAATTGGTGAATCCGAAAGTGAATCACAAGTTAATACTGAAGTTTGATTGTTGGTTGTTGTTGTTGTTGTTGTTGTTGTTGTTGCTGTTACTGTTGAATTAAATTTTGAAAATAAATCTGTTTGTGAATATAATGAAGTTAATCCATCTATAAAAGATAATAATCCTTTTTGATTAGCGAGAGTTAGATTCACACCCTATTGTTAATTATAATAATTATAATTACTATTTTATAATATAATTTTTATAGTAAACAAAAAAAAAAAATTTTTTTTTTCATTATAAAAAACTTTCCCCTTTTTATATATATACCAATTTACGCCCAATTGTTAAATAATGGTTAAATATTTGAGAAAAACCAACCAATATTACATGTTTATCTGATTTAATTTGATTAACTATAAAATGATGAATAAGAAAATTTCCTGAAGCTGAAAGTGTATCCGTTATTAAGATTGATTTTTTATTTGGTGGAAGATTATTATCAGGAAATGAAAGTGACGAATCTAAACTTGCATATCCCATTATCCTATTAAAATAATGATTTATTCTAAAGGAAATGATTTTTTTTTTTTCGTTGTTAAACCAAAAATAAAGAAAATTTTTTTTTTTTTTCCTTGTTAAATAAAAAAAAAACGCGATAGTCAGTCAGTACAACCTAACGAACCAACCTATACCAACCTATGTTGGGGGGATTATGCCATATTTATAACTTTTCATACGAATTTCGTCATCATCAATAATATATTAATAATTATGCAGGAAATATGTTGTGTAACAACATCGGCTGATTTTTTTTTTACTCATTGAAAAGGGACCCCTCTTTTTTCAGCAGTCCCTTTTCTCACATCCTCTTGCTCCCACCCACCAAAGGGTATAAATAGCTCTCCTGATATAAAAGGATTTTTGAAAGTTGGGCACTCGTATATAAAGCTCATTTTTCTCCCAAAAAAAACTCGATTTAACCACTCGCGTGTAGATTATTAAAAATTTTAAATTTTTTTGCTCTTTCTTTTACGGATTATTTCCACTTATTAAAATATAATGTCTAACAGTATTGTGGTACGTTTTGACAGTATTTTGCCTTTAAAATTGTTAAGATGATTCAACTTTTTTTAGCTCCTGTAAAAGTCGCGTAAACTTAATTACAAGATTTTATTTATTAATATTCGCGTTAAATACTTTTTTATTTTATAGGCCACTGTATATAGTGGAGTCATAAGGGATGTTATTGATAATGTAAGGAAAGATTTTGATGAGAATGGTGTCGACGTGTCTGTTTTGGGTGAACTAGAAAAAGTAAGTATTATAAATTTTCTTATTATACATTATTAAGGAAAATATAGTGAATAATAATCATCTAATTTAATAAGTTCTAATTACTACGTAGTTGTGGGAACAAAAGATTAGAAATGCAAAAGTCGCACCCTGGGAGGCTAACGGGTTAACTGGTGAGGACCACAACCAAAATAATCAAAATATGAATGGTGGTTCAAGTAATTCTGCGCATTATATGCAACAACAATCCCTGCAACAAATTCAAGCACAAAATGATCCAAATTTAAAGGTAATTGTCTTATTTTGATTGATTTTTGAGAATTATTTGTTATCATTTTACGTATAATTATCTTAATGTAGTATCAGCAACCTCGTGATTTACAGGCTGCAGCATCTCTTCCAAGTCTTGCGGTCAATAATATGCACACTAATCATAATAATGAAGGCAGGCCTCAACCCTATATAGTACGTTTGAATTCTATGGTTTATTCATTTTCCTATTACTCCTCAGTGAATCGTCAAAATATAAATTTGTAACACTAAAATAGAAAAATGGTAACATTCAATTAACGGCACAATCCTCACCGACCTCATTTCCCACTTCATCTGATATCTCGAACAGCACTCCAATAAACAATCAAGCTGACGGTATGTAAACATTACCGTTACCTTAAATTCATTAATTTTGTGTGTTAAATATTCGCATGTACAATTACGTTCCTTCGTAGATCAAAAGATATACCACCAACATCATCAAAACCTTCATACAATGATGGGACAACAGGTATGAATTACTAAATATTTATTAAAAGTTATTGATATATAATATCACTGGATTTTTATCAGTATGCGTTTCTCTATGTTGTATTTTCGTTTACTAAAGGATGAGTTTGGAAATCCTTTGAGTGAAAAACTTATTCCTCGTGGTGGTGGTGAAAATAGTGCGAATAGTTCACCTCTTCCGGAATTTACCACTCGGTCGGAACCATCATTTGTAGATAACGATGATATTAATTCTGATCTTGATGATACAGATGATGAGGAGACTAATGCCGAAGGCGAAGAAACACAAAATATCATTCTGTGTTTGTATGATAAGGTAAATATTGAAAAATAAAAAGACTTTCAAATTTCCTCCTGGAATAGTTACAGTACTAATATTGCTCTTTTGTTTTTAGGTCACACGCACAAAAAATAAATGGAAGTGTCAATTGAAGGACGGTATCATGTCAGTGAATGGCCGTGATTACCTCTTCCAAAAGGGCAATGGGGACTTTGAGTTTTAATTTCTATTAGAACCCATTAGGAACCGCATGTTATGAATTTAATATGTAGGTATTCCTAAAGATTTATATTAAGTACATTTATGCTTTGCTAATCAGGAATAGATCTCAGTTCTATTAAAATTGAATTGAGTGACTGATCAAAGAATCCGGAATCAAAGATAACAACACGTTTGTGTTCAGGTGTTTATCTTTTTTTAATTATGTACAAGTAATGTTAATTTGTATTCCTGGTTTATTTCTTTTCTCTTTTGTTTTATTAGTTTATCTCTTACTTAAAAAAGAAATACGATATGTACACGTATTACAAAAAAAGATATAAAAAAAAAAAAATATAAATATATATATATTTTTTTTCTTTTTTTTTTTGTTGTGTTTGACTTTTGCAGTATGTAACACTACTTTCGTTTCTTTATATGTATATTTTTTATCATTCTTAACGCAAAGGGATGTATGTTTTTCTGTAAATGTAATTATTATATTATATTATATGAAATGAATAAAAAGGAGGATAATTATTAGACACAACGAAACAATTAGTAATGGCTAATATTTATGCAACAATGTCAATGTCCGTGGCTTGAGTAACAAACACTAATTATCTGTCAGATACGATCGACATCATGATTGCCATTTCGACACGTACAGTATTTTGAGTAAAAAGAAAAAAAATTACGTTGCTGCTTTTAATTATATCAAAAAAGGCAGTATCGTTCCTGATGCATTCGATGCTATAAGAAAACTTGAATGAAAATTTGCTTCATACTTCTAGAGTAATAGTTAAAATACAAGCATAATGCAAATCAGCATGATTATTTAATGAATTTAAACTGCGAATATTCTAAATAAGTATATAAAGAGAAAAAAATATACTAATACTCATTTTATTTATTTTTCTTCTTTTTTATAAAAAAAATTCATTCCTTAATAATGTCTTCTATCAAAAATTATTTACCAAAATATACTTATAAAAGAAATCCTAAAATCAGTAATAAGGCAGCAAATAAACAAAATGAATTAATGCGACTCAATGATGAAAGTAAGTCTTTCATTAACATAAATAAAACCACCGAGAACAATCAGTTCCTTTGATAAATCATGTGAAATCGTTTACCTTTGATGGCGCAATAATAAAAGATACACAAATAACGCCATTTTTCTTTTTTTTTAAAAAAAAAAGAACTAAATGATGATGCCACATCCATCACTAATAAAAACACGGTTACTTCATCCGATTTCACTGAAAAACAAAATCAAGGTGTGATATCATCATTTGTTATTGGACATATCATTAGCGAAAATGAATTAGCTTTAGCATCTCCATATTCATATAGAGAATTAAATGATGTATTTGATGAGTTTTTAGAATTACAGAAACAGAGTAATAAAGTATTCGGAAAATCTAGTATCAAGAAATCCGAAAAGAATTCTGATATAAAGAAGAATAATCAGAATAAAAATGTGAATAATAACGGAAGAGAAAACAGTAAAAAACGTGATGGTGGTGTTGGTGGAAACAGTGAAAGAAATCAAAGAGAAATTGCTAAAAGAGCATTGAAATCAAAACCGACTAACAATATTAACGCTGAAAAATCTGAAAAGATTTCAACAGATAAAAATCGTATTCAAAGAAATGTATTGAAGAATAATGATGAGTTTAATAACAAAATTGATAAAAAAATTGGAAATCGAGTAAGTTTGTTTTATTAATAGTTGTAAAAATATTGCGAAGCAATCAATTTAATATTTTATTTATTTTTTCAGAGGATTGATATTGTTAACCAAGATGATATAAACTTTGAAAAATATAATAATGAGTTTGAAGATTGGCACAATATGTATCCTATATTGACTTCAACTCCTAATTCTAGTATCAATTTCGAAACAAATACTATTACCAAATTCCATAATAATTCAAATGTAGAGGATGATGACATGGGAGATATTCTCCCAGATTCTTATTCTTTTCCTAAAAATGGTGGAAGAAATTCACCAAAAGAGAATCTATCAACTTTTAAACATGATCAATTACAACAATCGCAACTCTTCAATGCAGTTCCAAAAACAAATGGTAAAGAGGAAAAAGAAATTCGGTATCCATCACAAGATACGAATACGGAACTTTCATTACAATCATATGCAGAAAGAGATGAAATACGAAGATTCGTGTTCAAGCAATTGTCCGATGATGATAACGAATTGGAAGGCTTTTATGATTTCAAATCAGGAAATTATAAGAAAGACTAATTAATTTTTATAGTAATATATATATATATATATATATTTATTTAATATATTATTGTTTACTTTAATATATGTATGATTGTGACGAATAGAAAGGAAATGCTAAATTAAAATAATTGAATGAATTTAATATTATATTCAATATAATCGGAGATTTTTCAGTTGGTTTGCGATTATATAATAAAATTTAATTTGATGTCACTTATTATTATTTAAAATGAAGATCTATTCCAATTTTTATTAGTATGTATGATCTTTTTATACAGAAAAATATAAAATGAAGTCGAGAAATTATTTTTTTCCTTTTTTAAACCTTTTCCTTTCATTTTGTGAAAACAAAAAAAAAAATGGCAGAAAATATATACACAACAACTCAAGAGAATAGTAATTCTCCTCAAGTCTCCTCTACATCACCTTATAATAAAATATTATATCAACATAATCATAATACATTATCTTTAAATAATATCTCTCAAAATAATGATAATAATGGGGATGGAAAAGCAGAAACTCAATTATTATCACAAATATATCATATAAATGAACAACTTAATCAACTTAGCCATTTTAGCAATGCTTTTGCTTTAGAAAATTATAATCCTATTAATGAAAGGACACCTTCACCAATTTATATTGTACCTCCAAGTACTCCTACATATTTCAAAGATGAAGGGTTTGATTTTCAATCTTCAACTTTAGGAGGAACTTCAAGGGAATTACAATTAAACAATACAATGAATAACATTAATTATACAAATATGTTACCATTTATGTCTACAGGTACAATAAATCTAACTTGGCCTATACAAAATCAATATGTTAATATTGCTTCAACAATGAATTTGGAAGAAAATTCTGTAAGTTTTTTAACTAATATTATTATTTACTTTAAAAAGTAGCATATATTCAAATTAAAAAAAAACAATAATTTCTTAATTCTCTTTTTTTAATAGTCAAATTCTACAATTATAAATAATAACTTTGTTGATAATGGTGATGATATGACTGGTATAGAAGCTCAGAAAAAACAAATTTTTAATAACAATAACAATAATAATAATCCTGGAAATTTTCTCGTAAATGAGTTTCAAAATTTGAAACTTGAATAATAAAGTTCGCGCGTGTGTAATGTTTGATATTAAATGTGAAAAATTTTTTGTTTCGTCCTTGTAAAAACAATAATATTCATAAAAATTTTACACGTTTCTTTTTTTTTAACAAAAAAACTTTTTTCGACACTTTCATTGGAGACAATGAAAATCTATTTATTTTGTTAGGCATTCAATTCAAATTTGGCGTTTTTGAAAGATACTGTAATTAGTAAATTATAACCAAATAATATTATGTACACGAGTTAGAGTATAATTACGTTATAGTTTCTGAATTACTAAAATAAAAGATATCCATATAAATTATTAATTGGTTTAATCTAACGTTTCTTTTTCTTAAATTTATATTTAAAAGTTAAAACCCTCCCAAAACTCAAACCAATATTCGAAACATGATTATTTGGTATTGTTTAGTTACGTTTCGAAATTTAGTATTGTTTTAACTTGTAATCACGTGATATTGGCATTTAGGATATTTTATTTGAATTATTTACATTTTTTTTATATAACTTGCTTCTTTTCATTTATATATTAGAAATATTATTAGATAGTACATAAAATTTAAATAAATCATAGTCATTAAATGCGATATGCTGATCGATCATCAAAGATGTACTGCGGCTTTTAAATGATTTGATGATGCAAAATTTCAGAGATAAAAAGTTAAAAATGCTTATTAAAAATCAGGGAGTTGTGCAATATGGCAGACCGGGACGTCTCCAATTCTCTTTAAACATTCATATTTACATGATCGAATCCATGATTCATTTGGCGCGAACAATATTAAATAACTACTTGCTGCCTCGTCAAGCCAATTCAATTTCTGAAAGAGCACATCATCATATAGCATGGGTGGCAGTAGCTCATTACTGTCTTGCATCTGTTAAATGTGCAAGACAATTTGCTTCATTTTTTGCTGATAAAGTGTCGTTATGACAAAACTTTCCATACATTACAATAAATTAATTCCATCAGTATATTTGATGATAAAGTTGTATGTACTCAGTGGTATCTTGGCACATCTTCAATTACACACATGCAAGACCTTAATAATCTCACCCACGGATTCCAAATATGATGATGTATTAAATGTTAATGGAGATATTTGGCCTATCCGGATATTATTGGTAGATAGATGACCTGATGAAAATCCTCGATTTTTAAAGAATACTAAGCATATTTTCATATCCAAGAAATTTGATTTAGATTATTTGAGTGCAAGAACGCATGATCCAGGCAATCTAAATATAACCTGTTGAAAGAGGTTAGCAAAGTTGTCTAGTGGTATAACATTACGATAAAAATTTGAATACACAAGGGAGAGCTACAAGCCCATAATTGGCTACTCGAAATTTTCGATATGCAGAAGCTTTGTGTGACATTTAGAGTCGTAATTTGATTTTTGGAAAACAAGTCAATGCTCATTATGTAGATACACTCCCTGAAAATGTGCAGTTTGAAGGTACAGATGAGAAGAATTAAAAAGGCTAAGAAAAATGTCCAAAAAAGAATGAAGCGGATGCAAATACCTTTCTTGAATGCTTTGTACCATGGTCTAGGATTGAAACTTGTGTGCCTATCCAGACGATATCAGACGCTGCAAGAACACAAGTTGCTGTGGGCTGAGGATGCCATGAAGTTTCTACAAATTAACAATGGTTTCTTGTGATATCTTGAAATACTAGGCTATGATGCAGATTGTCCATCTATTGATAAGAGTATGTACACGTTTTTATTGCTCAATAATATTTTTCTTATTCTCACCTTTTAACAAATTATAAACGATTAAGTCAAGTTGGACAAATTCTCAACAACTGAACACATTATTTCATTTGATGAAATTCAACTTGATTTAAGAGAATATATGTCAGATAGAGAATGAATTTAATAAGTTTGAATAAATAAATTTGAAAAAGTCGTTTCACTTTGAAAACAATAAAAATAAAATTAATGTATTAAAATGAAATGTGTTTTTTTTTTATTTGTAATAGCGGTACATTAAAGAATAAATATATATTGTTTTTAACGTAGATTTTCTATAAAATTAAAAGTATAGAACAAAAATAAGCAGCAAAATATATATCAAGAATAAAATTAAAATTAAAAAAGATAAAAATTCGAAATTAAATTTCTGACAAATCACACTGTATTTGTACATCTCCAAAAAAGCCGGTAAAGCACGCTAAATTTACCGGAAAATCCGGTAAATCCTAAAACATTTATGCATAATTGAGCCAATCGTACAGTTCATAAGGTGCATTCATTAATAAATTTACCTTCTTTTTGATCATTTCATTTTTACTTTTTTTTTTTAATCAGAAAAAAAATGGCCACCTTTAAATTCTGTAAGCTATGGTAAATATATGTTAATGAATATATTAAATAAATTGGATTACTTTATATATTTCAACCCCCTTTTTTATTATTGTTAACAGTAGTAATTTGTTATACCCAAGAGAAGACAAAGAAGCTCATAAATTATTTTATGCTTGCCGTAATTGTATTCACCAAGAAGAAACCGATAACAAATGTGTTTATAGAAATGAGCTTATGAATGCGTCTAGGTAAAAAAAAAAAATTTTTCCCTTCCTTTTTAAACATTGATCTAATTATTATATTTTTGGTTCGTTTAAGTGAAGTCACTACAATTATTCGAGACATAGCTTGCGATCCCACACTGGTAAAGATTTATTAAACAAATTACTCTTTTATAAAATTTATTGATTTATTAAAAAAATTATTATTTTTTTAAAGCCACGCACGGAAAAAGAATGTCCAGAATGTGGTTATATAGAAGCAGTATTTTTTGAACAACAATCACGTCGTTCAGGTCGTTCAGATACCAAAATGGTATTATATTATGCCTGTGCTAATGCTGAATGTGGTTTTAGATGGACTGACTATAGTGATAATAAGCCAAAACAACCAGCACCACAAGATGAGGAGAGCATACCTGAAGGATATACCGAAGATGAAAATTATATGAATGATATATATGGTACTCAAGGACTAGATAACACATTTCAAGGTATCAAAAATTTTTTCAACATTCTCCTCACTAAATATATAAAATTAAATTTTTTATTATAACAAAAAAGGTTCTATTCAATTTTCTAAATTTTCTTATTTTTTCTTTTGTAAACAGATCAATTGTATAATAATAATACTACAATTCTTGAACCCGAAGTCAATGATCCCATAACTAATTTACCAAAGAATGAATATCATAATCCGGAAGATTGGTGATTTAAAGAGCTCCGGCCTCTTTCAATTTAGAAATTAATTCATCTACAGTTCCTACTTTAGATCCACCTTGCCTAGCTGGTGGTTCTACTACAGAAATAGTTTCTAATCTTGGAGTAATATCAACACTTAATTGATCAGGTGTAAATTTGACTAAAGGTTTTTTCTTTGCTTTCATAATATTAGGGAGGGTGGCAAATCTAGGTTCATTCAATCTTTAATTTAAAAAAAAAATTTTAATTCACTGTTTTAATTAAAAAATATAAATTATAAAAAATCGAAGAAAAATGTAAAATAATTGCCTTAAATCGGTAGTCACAACAGCTGGTAATTTGCTACTAATGGTTTCCAGACCACCATCAACTTCACGTGTTACTGTAAGTTTGTCGCCATTTAACTCAACTTTTGACGCAAAGGTTGCCTAAAAATAAATAATTTTTAATTTGATTGTCTTTTTAAATTTAAAACCCGCTTTGTAAAAAGTACCTGAGGCCAATTCAGGAGACCAGCTAACATTTGACCAGTTTGACTAGCGTCATCATCAATAGCTTGTTTACCAAAAATAACTAAACTTGGTTGTTCTTTTTCAACTATAGCTTTAAATAATTTAGCAACAGCCAACGGCTGTAAAATATTTGCTACGTCATTATCATCTTTACCCACTTCAACATGTATAGCTCTATCCGCTCCCATAGCTAAAGCTGTTCTAAGCTGCTCTTGAGCTTTTGGTGGACCACAAGTTAAAGCAATAACTTCTTTTATTACATTATTGCCTAACTTTTCTCTCAATCTTAATGCTTCTTCTACCGCGATTTCATCAAATGGATTTAGAGAATGTTTTATATTCGCTGTCTCTACAGCCTTTTTCGCTGAATTAACTCGAACTTTTACTGCAAAATCTATTACTCTTTTACAACCTAATAAATAGATTAAAGTTTAATAGAATGAAGATCATTTCTTTTATTGAAATTAAATTATTAAATTATTAATGAACTTACCAACAAGAATCTTTAAATTAGACATTGTTTAAAAAAAAAAAAAAAAAAAAAAAAAAAAAAANTATCCGTCGTCGGATATATATTTTTAAATATTCAAGAATTCATTTTTTTAGAATAAATTTTTTTTTTTTAAAAAAAAAAAAAAAAAAAAAAAAAACGAAAAGAAATACTGATTGTCAAATTTTGGATTATCATGATTAAGATTTAAATTCGTGTAACATGAAAAATCATTTTGATCGAGTAGAAAATCCTCGTACTCATAACTTGGTCATCGGGTCATCAGAATTAATACGTACGGAAATATTTCTGATTGGTTAATTATTAACGAAAAAACCTTTCGCGAAAGAGATAACTTAACTTAGACCGGGAAGTTTCGGGTCAATTATCTTAGACCGTGGAGGTCCAACCTAGACCTGTAACCTAATTTGGAAAAGATATCTAAACTATTCGTAAAAGCTACATGACTTTAATCACGTGCAGTGGTTGCTCCTAGAAGAAATGGCATGTCAAAAAAAATGATAACAGAAAGTAATTTTATACTCGTGAGTTATTGGCGTTGATTAAAGACACGTGCAACTTTCCAAAAAAATTTGCTCACCACTGTATATACTGTATGTGATACAATTTATCATCTTGGTTTGTTGTTATCAGATTATCAGACTTGGAAAATTCAAATATTCAAATACTACCGAAAACTAAGGTGTCGAAGAAAATATCACAAATGAAGTTCGAGCTGGTTATCCCGAGTCAAAAAAATATGTCTTCTAAAATAGCAAAAGACAAAATCAAAAAATCTCAACGTTGTGACTGTCCTTTTTATGCTCGTGCTACACTAATGGTTTAGGATATATTATATAGCATGCCGGAATCTTGCTCATAATTATCAAATGGTTGATGAATGGCATCGATATTTCATGTCAAATGAGCGGGAGTATTCCTTATAATGATAAATGTTCTAGGTATGCGTGCGACTTTAAAGAAGAGTTTGGTGATGTTATATGGGCGTACAATGATATTTACAACTTTATATCAATTGAAAGGCTCTGGTCCGGGGAAGAAAAAGATTTTATACTGGCATTTGTAAAAATTATTAAAGCAATTTAAACATGATAATGCAGAATTTTTTATACTGATATTAATAATATAATACAGAAGTCATCATTTAACAATCTTTCAATGAAATATTTATTTCCGAAGTTGAAAAACTGAATAAAGCACAATCCAACACTATGAATATTATACCAACAGTAATAGTTCGTGGAATAAGACGACCATCCAATAAGAGAATTAAAAGTGCAGGAGAATTAAATAAAAAATCTAATAATAAAAAGAAAAGAGCTGATGAAAAATGCTAATAATAGTATGTCAAAACTTAACGTTAGTTTTTATAATTTCTTTATTTTTTTGTCTTTATTATTATTTTTAAATTTTATTCTTTTAGTCTTAAAACCATATTTTAACAAAAAATGTTGTTGAATATGAAATATCAATTGTATAACCTTATAAAACTGATATTAGAAGTAAGTTATTTAATGAACATAATTTCATTATTTTATACCATGAGGTTTGAGTATCTCAGAAGGTGAAAATTCAAGTAGAAACAGTTACCCTCTCTATAGCGAATTTTTATATAGTGAATAACTTGCTATAATGAAGAAAAGTTCGGGTACAGATTTTTATATATAATAAAATGACCCTCAATATAGTGAATTTCTAACTATAACGAATTTTAATCTCCAGCCCATGGATTCACTATAGTAAAAGTGAACTGCACTAGAGTTTTGGAACCGAAAACCATTGTGTTCCGAAATCCTTATCACAGTATTTAGTTCAAATTTTGGTACCTAAAACTGCAATTATACTTATTAAAGGCGATTCCGGAGGTATTTCTTTGGATATAGCGAAAAATATTATGGATATGTTTGGATTTTATGTTCATAATGGTAGTAATGCGTAATTATGTTAAATAACTATGTTATACTTTATTGACACTTTTTATTATATATTCCTTTTTATTATATTACACACTATTTTTAAATTATTTTTCCTTTATTATATTATTTTAAAATACACCAAAGAAATTATAATATATAATTAACATAAAATCTTAATTAAAAATCAAAAAATAAAAATCAAAAAACATGAAATTTAACGCATATAAATAAGTACATAATCACAAATTCTTTTAATATACATCTCGTTTTAAATTGTTTTACATTGATAGACCCCCTGTAAAAAAAGTCTATCCGTTTTTATATTCCATCTTTTTCCGTAAAAGGCTCATATTTCCGGAACTAATAATCTTATCACGGAATTTAACATTTTCTGTGAATGGATCCGTGAAAGGCTCATTTTTACGGAGTTTTTACAGAAACAACGGATAAAATTTTTTATAGGGACTTATTAGCTATAGTCGTACCAGATGTGATTTATTCCTCGAACCTTTAAAAATTGTTTCTTGTAACTTTCGGAAATATCTCTGATTGGCTAATTACTTTGTATTATTTGTAATATTGATGACTAAAATTGACGTAATAATGCCATTTTATTTAATCTATTAGTAATATTAATCTTATTATTAATAGATTTTAGATCTATAATTTTGTTATAAATTTACATTATATCCATTATTTCATGTTAGAAGCAATTTTTTCCGAGAAAAAGTAAAAATGTCGTTATATTCGTTTAATACAGGATTTATTAGTTTGTTTAAAGAATATGGTATAAAATATCCAATAGTAAAAGCTCCTATGGCAAAAATATCTGATGTAAAGTTAGCAAGTGAAGTTTATTTAGCAGGAGGGTTAAGTTTTCTTTCAACAGGTAGATAACTTGATTTTATCTTTATTAAATTTAACCGATTTTTAACTTTGGATTTAAAATTTTCTTTAATTATAGGATATAAGTCTTATGAAGATATTGATAATGATTTAAAATCAATTCGCGAATTATTAAAATCTACTCCAACCAACGGATTATTACCAATTGGTATAGCATTTATGACATTTGCACTAGACTCTGAATTTTCCTCCTCCTCTTCAAATTCGTCTCTTCATTTGACCCTTTCTTATAAACCATTAGCAATTTGGTTTTCATTTGGTGATTTTTCAAAATATGTACCTATAGTACGTTCATTATCACCTCACACAAAAATATTTGCTCAAGTACAAACAATAGAACAAGCAATAAATGCATATAAAAATAATGCAGACGTGATTGTAGTACAAGGTAATGAGAGCGGTGGACATGGATTAATTAATGGTGCATCTACATTAACTTTGGTACCTGAAGCTATTGATACTTTAAATCAAATTTATTCCTCTTCTAAAGAAGAGAACTTAAAAAAGCCTATTATCCTGGCTGCAGGAGGAATTATTGATGGTAGAGGTTTAGCTTCAGTATTAATGCTCGGTGGTGACGGAGTTGTAATGGGGACAAGATTTATAGTTTCTAAAGAGTCTGCTGCTCATCCTGATTCCAAAAAAATCATTATTAATACTAATGATGGTGGTGTAAATACGGTTAGAACTCAGATATTCGATAAATTAAAAGAACAGAATACTTGGCCATCTCAATGGGATGGTAGAGCAATTAAAAATAAAACTGTTGAAGAGATTGAGGAATTAGGTGGTGATGATGAAAAAATCGGCGAAAGAAAAAAAATTTACAAAGAAGCTGTTTTGGGAAAAGATTATTCGAGAGCGGTATGTTTGCTAATTATTTTTTTTTTTCTTTTTGTAATTTAATAATAAATTTGTTAATAAATTTCAATATATATTGTTTTTTGCTAGGTTATTTATGCTGGTTCCGGAGTTGGATTAATTCGTGATGAACCGTCTGTTAAAGTAAGTATATTTCATCATATAAGTAATACATAACTTATACTTTAAAAATTAATTCAACTTTTCTTTATTATATTCGTAGGAAATCTTGGAAAATACGGCAAAAGTTGCTACAGAAACAATCACACATGTATATAATTCGGTTATTACAAAAGAAAATATTTCGAAATTTTATTAGTCTAGAAGATTTTGTGTTTGTAAATTTTATTTAAATATTTTATTCAACTATTGTTATTATTTAATTCCAACAATGACCATATTTCTTGGACTTTTTAATTCGTCAAATATACCAAAACATTTGACTTCTTTTACATGATTATTTTCAAATAAATATAAACATTTATCTAATAATATAATACTCTCAAAACATGGTCCTAACATAGCTCTTAATGTCCAAAATACAATAATTTTACGCATATATCCTTTTTGCTTAAATTCATTATAATATTTTTCTGATTCTGATTGTGTGATACTATTTAATGGAAGAGAAAGTTTTTTTAATGCAGCATTGCAATATGTGGAAAATGATGTGAAACTTCGATGATGTAATTTTCCTATTCTTGGTGTATCTTTGACTAAATCTTTTTTAATTAATATATACTAAAGAAGAAGAAATGCGATTTAGCAAAAAAAAAAGACTTTTTTATATATAAATAAATGTGTATGACTTAACCTGTAATAGTGCTCGAAAAAAATGATGTTCAAATGCTTTAATACTTGATTCTTGTTGAACTGACCATCTTGATGGTACTTGGCATGCAAGATGTCTGATAGTTAATCCCATATAAAAATTTTTTTCTTTAAAAAATTTACTTAATGGGAATGAACATTTAATATCTTCATCTAAATAAAAAAAATATATTATTATTATTTATATTAAAACAAAGATTTCAATAAAAGAAAAAGAATATTTTAGTCATAATTAATACCTTTTGAATTCTCTTGTTTAGAATTTTCATTTTCATGAAGTAAATGGTAACAACATCCTACATTTACTACACATTTTATTTCTTCATTTTTAATAAATAAATCTAACATTGTACTTGATAATTCTCCACATGAATGTAATCCACATATTAAAAAATTATTATCTTGTTTTAAGTGTTTAGCTGAACAAGACCCATCTACGATATTTTTGTTATCATTAACAACCTTATTAAATTCATAATCTCCCACCTCTCCAACGTTAAATTGTTCCTTATTCTTATTCCACTCTGATATTAAATTAGTTAAAGTTTCCGTAGTCACATGTTGAGTAACATGAGTTAACCCTCCTTTTTTCTCACTTATAAGTTCATTACTTTTATCATCAACTTCCTTTTTTCCCTTGCGCAATAATCCAAGACTTTTTTCTGTACGAAATTGATATTTTTGTGCCCCACATGTTTGTATATTACTTGCATCTACAGCAAAGACACAAAGATTATATGTATATGCCAATACTCTACTTAAATATCCCTGTATAAAAGAGTAAAAATGATAAAGACGCTTATAAAATGAATTATCTTAACGCAAATTTATTACATACCTGTCCTGCTCCTAAATCAATTATTGAACTAATTTTATTTTCTTTTGTTAACTTTGCTATTAAACAACTCAATATTCTAACCTACAAATAAAATATGGTTAATTTTTAATTAACGTATATTGAAAGAAAATAATTAATAAATAACTACCTCATGTAACTTTTTTTCATTCATTCCTGGTAATATACGTTTATCAATTGATTCTTCACATTCTATCTGTAAATCTTTATAGTACTTTCATTAACAAATTATCATTATTCGTATCGATACTATCTATATAAGACGCGATAATTAAACATCTAATAAAGTAACCAAAGAAACTAACCATTAATTGAAATGTCACGCATTAAGACTAACCCTTTCGTATTTCTAATAAATTGCTTTAAAGATTCGGGCCAATCTTCCTGTCATTTATTATAAATCTTAAGACCAACTTTTTTCCATAACCTTCCCTACACTCACTATTATTTTATTTACCTCATATTCACAAAAACTAGCGAGTCTAATCATTTTATTCATGAATTTTTTCTCTTCTCCTTCTTCAGTAATTCCATTCTCACTTTCACTCATATATTCAACTTTAAACGCGTCAGTCCATTCTTCTGGAATAACTTCTTCCCAAGTATTTTTAATAAAAAAATCTACAATATGAGCATCCGCAAGTTTAGAATATTTTTTACAAAAGTTCATTAAAGTTTCTGCATAATCAAGTATATTATCTTTGTCATTTGTATAATTATGTGGATGCGGAAGAAAAATTTTTCGCGTGGACATTTTGAGTAAATAATTCAGTGTTAAAGTGATTCGCTATTGTTAATTCATCGTCATTTAATCATTCCTTTTTGGGTAAGCCGAAACTCGAGATTGAAATTGTCACTACTCCTCAAGGAAATATTTTATATCATATATATAATAATAATTAATGCAAAATGTTTAAAAATTCAAAGTCGTTGCTTCGTTCTAAAGCAGGTAATAATGATGGTTTCAAATTTATCTAATTCAATTTATTTAACATATATATATTTGCATATAATTTAGGTAAGTCAAAAGGGACAATTATTGATGTTCCCGGGAAATCACTAGAACCAACTCCAATTACAATAGTACAACCTTCAAATTCACAGGAGTCTGGTGGTAGTAATAAATCTACTCAGTCGGAAACAAATCCCGATGCTATTATAGTTAATTATGAAGGCAACACGATTGATGTAGTTAGTCAAGCGCCACAAGATATTATGATGGATGTTTCTCCATCAATATTACCAGCTAAGACGCGCTCTAATGAGAAACGATCCATAAATCGTACTGCTGACAATGTGATCAATAAATCCTCTGGAGATGGAACACAAAGAAAATCTTCACAAAAATTTCCTACAAGTCCGAAAATCATTCTTTCATTTACTAATGACTCACTGGTTGAATCATCCTCCTCTTCAAGTGCTACTGGAATGGTTGAATCACAAAATACTCGACAAGATAGTGAAGACGCAATATCTCAACATATTGAAGAATCTGATGTAACGACTGAAGATTCATCTGTTAAAACAAGACAACGTAAAACAGCTATTACGAATAAGAAACGAGCAAGATCAAATAATGATGATGAACAATCTGAAGATTCAACGGTAGCAACATCATCATCATCAAAACAGTCAAAACGTCGTAAACGTTCTAGTTCTATTGCATCCATAACGTCTTCAACTAATACGGATGGCAGTTCCACAAAAAGTAATTCTACAGCTGGTAGAAAACGACGAAGTAAATCACGTAAAGCGCGTACTACTACCCGTAGACAACAATCTAGTAAAAGCCGTGTTAAACCTTGGGAAGATGATCCTGAAGACGAAAATCCACTTGATGATTCTATTGTTACAATGGCCGAATTGTGTAAAGATTTAAAACGGGGTCGTAAATCTAATACTTATAAGGAACTAGAGTATGCTAAGTATCAAAAATCACAACAAAAACGCAGACAACGTGCAGCAGCTAATAATATTAGAGATGATGACCAAATGAATGTTGGTGATGGTGAAACCCCTATTTATCAACCTTTGGGGGATGAAGGTAATGAGTTAGCTCAAGATCAGAATATTCCCGGAGATCATCAAGATGAGCAAAATGAGCAAAATGAGCAAAATGAGCAATATGAAATTGAACAAAATGAAGAGTTTAATAATGATGGAAGCGAAAATTACGAAGAATATCATGAGAATAGAGAATGGGAGCAAGAAGGTTGTTATGATGAAGATGGAAATTGGATTCAATATGAAAATTATGAAAACGAAGAGTATCAGCAAGATTATGAAATGGAAGAAGTGGAAGATGAGAATACACAAGGCGAAAATAACGAAAATGATAAGCCAACTCTTATGAAACGGTAATTTAATATATATGTATATTTTTTTTTTAAAAAAAAAGAAAGTCTTCTTTAATTAATTCTGTATAATTCAAATGAAAAGTCGCGTGTTTTCATCACGTGGCAGCAGATTTGTAAACGCGGATGGACAATATACAGTTCGCGAAGAACAAGATTCACGTCCACGTATTTATGAAAATGATGAAGGAATGGAAGTTGTAGAAGAAGATAAATTTTCTCATATTGTAAATTCTTTTACTTATTCTAAAAAGCCAAGAAAAAATGAAAGATGGACAATTGATGATACTGAATTGTTTTTCAAGGTATTGTGAATATTCATAATATTATTAACAAAGTTTTATTTATTACTAATAACGGCACGATAATTTGTTTTTATAATATAGGCATTGTCACGATGGGGAACCGATTTTGAGATAATATCTAGAAAAATATTTGATAATAGAAAATCTCGTGATCAAGTTAAAAATAAATATAAAAGAGAACGTAAAATTAATCCATTGCGTGTTTATAAGGCATTGGATACGCGCATTCCCATAGGTAATAATTAAATCTCAACTTATTTATTCCAAATTTATACTAATTTTTTTTTTTAAACAAGAACCTGAAGAATTGGAAATCATTTCACGATATACCGAAGAACTAGCAACTATACAAGCAGATAATGATATTCAAGGTGAAACTATAGAAGTAAATCAAGACGATATAGTAAATGATGTAGAAGGTGGTTCAACTGAAGAAAACCGTGAAGCATTTGATCTGATATAATTTTTTCAATGACAATGTAATTTTTTTTTGCATTTGCAAATCGAATTATTTCATTGTACATTTAAGACTATTTAATTCTGTAATTAACCAACAATTTGTAAAATAAATTTTTATAATAAAGTCTGGTTGAGAGAAATTTTATGAGGATTTGGGTTGGATGTGTACCAGTAGCAAATGATGGGTCAATGGACACCGGCAAGATGATATAATTTAGGACTAGCTAACCAAAGACTTTGGACGGAATACTAGCTAATTTTAAAATTTCGCATTGATTCAATTCTTTACTTTCAAAACCGTTGAAACAAATGATTCAAATTATAAGTACGCTTCGTTGAAAGCACCGAACAAAACTTGGACTATTTTCTGCGGAGCGTGTTGATTTCTTTTTTGAATCTAGTAGTAAAAATTCCAAATTTTTTAAATTTTTTAAGCTATTTATTGTCTTACACGCTCACAATTAACTTGTCCAAAGTTGATCAAACTTGATAATTTTCATTTATGGAGGCGGGTAATTCCCTCTTTCAATCATTCGGAAGTAATATAATGTGGTATTGTTTAACAATCCACTTAACGAATTCTCGTGTACTTTATTCAAATCTTTTTTTCTAATTATTCCCTTCATGTATCATTTTGATGTTAAACCTCTTTTGTCACTAAATCCTTTGGAACTTGTTAGAAACTTCAATATCATTTTTCCCGGAGATTAGCCGGTCAAAATGTCCTAACTCCTGGATCTATTGCGTATTCCTCCACTATTGTCCATTCAGACAAATGACTCTTACTCTTAGTAATCAATTCTATTTTTAATTTCATGAGTGATACTCCTATACACAGTTGCCAAAAAAAGATAGTATAACACGTACACTGCCTTCCTGCGCCTCTTTCTGGTTTTCAAATAGGTGGTGGTTTAAATAAATAGGTCAGGGTTTTTTTTTTCAGCATCAGTCTTTTTTTTTCAAACTAATTATCACTCTCATAAAATGGATAAATTTAAGGAGGTTAGTCATATTAAATTTTTATATATTCTAGTTTAAAGGTCTAGAGTTGTTAAGTATGAGTGTAAGGAGAAGCGTAAAAAAATTTTTTATATAGATAATGAACGATGTTAAGTTTCATAGGTTTCTAAAAGGAGGTTATACATTCATAAAGTTTTCAAGGAATTGTTGTTATATTCTTATACCCTTAAAAGAAATTTATGTATCTTCTCAAATCAGTTTTATGAAAATCAAAATCATTTTCAAATATTTATTATTAATTTTTTTTATTTTTTTATTTATTTTTTTTGCAATAATTTCTAATACTTCTAATTTAATAAATAACGTATTCTAATATACTTCAATTTTTTACTAATTTTCAATAATAGAAAGTTAGTTCTCTTCGCGCTGACCTTGATGCTTCTCATGCTAAAAATGAAGAGTTAACAAATGAAAAGAAAAAATTAGAAGAAGAAATGACGGCAAAAGAACAAGAAGCTAGTGGGCTTTCGAAAAAAGTTGAAAAACTTGAAAATGATTTAGATGAGACTGAAAAGACTTTGAGAGAAACCACGGAAAAGTAAGTTTAAGAATTTCAATCCCATCATCTACTACTATTCGTTACTTAATTTAGTGCATATTTTGGTATCATCTACCTCTAATATAAAAATCTTTATTTTCTTTCTAGACTACGTGAACTTGAAATCAAATTCGAAAACAGCGAACGTCAAGTTGCTAAACTTGAACAAGAAAAGATAAAGTTAGAGGAGACTATCGAGGAACAAAGTGAGAAATTTAAACAGAAAGAGAAAGAACTTGAAGAAACTCTAAAGTCTATCGAAAATTTGTAAAAGAATTCTTTATAGTCATCCATATATTAGTTGAACCATATTTGTATGTATTGTATTTTATTTTCATAGTGCGTTTTTATTAATTAAATTTTTTTATTTTCATTAAATAACTGAATTATTAAATTATTAAATTATATACAACTATTTATATTACATTTTATAGATATATTTTTATTTTTTTTCTGGGTTTTAGTTGAACAAGAAACTTAAATTAATTTAATCCACTTTGTAGATATTATTTTGTTCTTAAAAGAAAATTAAATGCTGAAATCATTGTAATAGTAATCCAAAATTCTCTCAAGTCTAATCTTATATAGAGATAATGTAATCAATTCATGGAACAAAATGATCAAAAAGTGGAAGAAAAAATTTTTTTTTCTTGATGGGATTTATTAAAGGATGAAAGACCATTGTATTTTTGTTCTAATTTACATTTGTCTTACCATTAATATATAATTAAATAATCACAAAGTTTAAATTACAGTACTTAATTGGTATAATCAAATAAATTTACCTCCTTAAAATGTTAGTAAATAATTAAGAATCGAATTACCCAAACCAACACGCAATTAAATTTTATGTTGTGCATTAATAATAAACTTTTGAGGTGGTAAATCTATGCATAATGACAATATTAAACTTGCATGTTTTCTGTAGCGTATCACTTATTAAACTGAATTCTGGTCATATGGTCATATCGCAACACAAAGTTACGTCGTCATTTGCATGTCAGTTCTTAGACATATAATTCAAATTAACTAGTGATTATGGCATAAAAAACCTTAGAACATATACAAATATACAATATTGTAAAAAAATGAAAAAAATGCAATTGGTAAAAAAACTCTTAGATAGTAAATGCTAATTTATAAAAATAATAGTTTCATATTTTATTTTATTCATTACACAAGTTTTATATTTAATATTCACTCATACAAATCTTAATAGGCTCTTATTTTTTTTATAATTTAAAGAATTTTAATATTTTTATTATTGTGCAAACTTCTGGAATAATTAAATTGACCTCATAATGGACATTCCAAATATCCTATATATATATATTTGCAGATACTATAGTATTTCAGGTATAATACAAATTTCAGAGGTTTGCCCTTATACCTCTCTTTTATTTCTAAGATGTTAATCATTTTTTAGAAATTAAATAAATTTTTTTTCCAAGTAATTGAACAACTGAATCAATTTTACTATTTTTTTTTATAAGAAACTAATAATTTTTTTTGCTTAATCTTATTAACTAAACAAAATGAATGAAATAATTATAAGTATTTAAATAATCAATAATCATTTTTATAAAATACTATATCTGATATAAAATAAATAAAAAAATAATTATAGATAAATAATATATTTAAAAAAAAATATTATATATCAAAAGATTTTTTTTTTTTATAAAAAAAAGGAAAATTAATAAAAATGAATAGAAATAAAAATGCATGAGAATAAGGTTATCTTACTGTTATCTTTCTTGCAATCAGATCAGATAAACATAGTATCTATACGGTAAAAATGTCATAAGTTGGATTATCTCCTATCAATAATAAAAAATGGTATCTAATAATATTAATAATTAGATAAATATATAATAATAATAAAGGTATTAACTAATATATATCATATTTTTTTTAAAAAATTAAATACCTCTTTTTACAAAAATTTTGAATAAAAAGTTTAAGATGTTTAATTTTAAAAGATTTTTATGAGTATTTTATATATAACTTTTTTAATATAACTTGAAAAGTTTAAGATAATGTTTAATTTTAAAAAATACTTAATATTGGAAAAATATAATATTAATAATTTAATATATACTTTATATTTAAATTCTAAAATAAAATATTTTGGTTAATATTACATCTATAGAAATAAAATAGATATCAAAATATTTATTTTAACAAAATAAATAAAATTATTAAAATTATTGGTTCTTAAAATTATGAAATCAAATCTGAATTTTTTCAAAATCCTGTTATTTTTTTTTGTTATTTACAATAAAATTAATAATATTTTTTTTAAAAAAAAAATTGATTTTTATTAGCTAATTTTAATTTATTGAAAATTTTATAATAATTAAATAGTAACTATTATAAATCTCTTAAATAAATAAATCCTATATAATTTTTTTATTTATAAGATAATAATTTATTATAAATTAAAATAAAAATAAAAATATTAGATTTCTTTTATTGAAATAAATCTAATAATATAAATTTTATTAAAATCTAGTTAGTAAATCTTTAAAAAATAGAAGTATATAAGTATGATATTTAAAGTTCTTAAATACTTATATTTAGTATTAACCATTAGTTTTATTATTTAAAAATTTAATTACTATCAATAAAAAAACTTTTTAATATAATGCAATTTTAAAAAAGATATCTGCTTTATTTTAAATGATCTTTTACTCCAATAGTATTATTGGTATAAATTCTTAAAGTAACTATTTATTAAGACAAATATTCTTAAGAATTATTTAAAATTAAATTTTTTTATCTTTTATCAAACATTTTTATAATTTATATTAGAATTATATTAATTTTGATCAGAATTATATATTACAAAATTTTATTATTCTATATACTTTATTTTAGATATTGAAAAGAGACTCTTTTCAGTTTTCACTAATCGTATGAACAATTTTTTTTATGAAATTTCAGCAACATATTTTTGATAAAAATACTAAAAAATATGGACACCAAAGTACAACTAAATATGCAAGATGGTAAGTCCTTGCTCAACCTCTTGATGACGAGAAGTTTTACCTACTTTTTAAAAAAATGCTTGAAGTTTACCATTTAATTAGCACAACTGGTTTATCTCAAACCTTGAAAGAAATAAACTTCAAAACACACGAACGTTTACTGGAACTCAAGTCTCCATTCAGTGAAGAACTTGAACAACTGGATGTTAGCGATAACTATGACAAGTTTTTGTTCCTTTTCTATACCTTCAAAGATTTTTGACACACCCTCTTCTATGAGGAATTATATGCTCAACAAGCAACAATATCATCATCTAATTAAATACTGGCATAACCGAATGATTACTCAATGGAAATAGAAATTTTAGAGAAACCCAAACACCAATCACTGGTTGTACTCCCTATGACTATACATGAAACTGAAATTGGTTAATTTTGACCTCTGAAATGGTCGAAATGGTCGAAATGATTTTGACTTGAGCCCCTCCAAAAGTCGAAATGGTCGAAATTACATCATAGTCATATGATTTTATAGTAAACAATAATATTAAAATTCAAAGTTAACGAACTCCGCATCCAGTAAATCGATTTTTATGATCTTTACGCAGTTGGATTCAGCTCATCGAGAGGATTCCAATGATATGTATTTCATATTTGTAGCATCAATATTGACGGAGTTATTCACATTTAAAATTTGGTATTAAATAGTCTTAGGTCAAGTAAATAAAATTATTCGTTTCTCATAACCGGGCAGATCATGTAAATGTTAAAAAAAGATAAAAAAATTTATTTTATTTAGTCATGTGATTTTAGTTTTGACCAATCATAATCATAAAAAAATAATTTTTTTTTCTACCGGCAAAAAATTTATTAAATCAACCAATCAACTTCTAGGAATCGGCTAAATTTTTATTGAAAAATAAATTTTTTTCCGGGTGGCCGGGTCAAATTTAGCAATTTTTTTTCATGAGAAACGAATAATTTTATTTCTTTGGCCTTATAATTTTTATAGTAAACAATAATTTTAAAATTCAAAGTTAACGATCTCCGCATCCAGTAATTCGATTTTTATGATCTTTACGCGGTTGGATTCAGCTCATCGAGAGGATGATATGTATTTCATACTTGTAGCATCAATATTGACGGAATTATTCACGTTTAAAATTTTATATTAAATTATAATTATAAAAATCACATGACTATGATGTAATTTCGACCATTTCGACTTTAATTTTGACTTTTAACCTTCCCAAGTTGAAATATTTCTACTTTTGGGCTTTAATTTCGACTTCATATATATCTGTGACATAAACAAAATTGAATGTACAAACTCAGCTATATACTCCAAAAGGAAAAAAGTACGTGACATACACTGAAATTATATTAGGTTTCAGTGCCGATGATTCCTGACTTACGTTACCATCCCTAAGAAAAAATGGAACACTCAAAATGCTTTCAAGAAGGGTAGTACTCGTAGTACATCATCTAAACTACAGCTAAGGTTGCTTGCCGAAACCTAGGGGTTTAGGCAAAATGGCGTTTTGCCGAAAAGCGAAATTCTGCCAAAACTATATTAAAGTTATATTAAAAAACTGGCGAAACTTTGGAGAAAGGCGAAACTGCCGAAACTTATTATAAATGCCGAAACTGCCAAAACTCTGCCGAAACTATAATAAATCTATAGTAAAATTTTGACGAAACTAATCGTAGGATTTTGAAGAGGTTTAGACAAGCAATCTTAACTACAGCAGCAAAAGACAAAGAAGTTTAAGCTTACATTGGAGAAAACTATTTCAACTATTATAACCAGATATTTACCACAAAATACCGCTAATATCCGTAAAATAGTCATTTATAATATCCCTTTCACCATGCCGCAACTCAATATCTTAACGAACCTTGAGAAATGGGTCAAGTAATTGCGTTTAAAATTAGACACAAAAGAAGTATATGACAGTGACTATGTCTATAGATTTTAACGAGTGGGCTTTACATAACTGGAATAATGGAGTATAGACTGCTCCATTTGGAGGAATGCCTATTAGATGGTTTCCTGCGTCCTGATCTTTGAAGCAGCACAAAGAGCATGAGAAATTCCAGATTGTTGTGATAAATGTGCTTAAATCTATTACTAATAATGTTATTTACAATGCAGAGAATCCAATCCAATCAATACTATCGCAACTGAATGCTACCTTAGCTTTCAAAATCATTTAAGATCATGGGAGAAGGAAGTTGATCGTATATTTTGACATTTGGGCAAGTTTAGATAAAACTTTCAATACCAACTTCACTTTCTAAGAATTTAAAGGTGTTTGGACTAAATACTTTTCTCTCACCTTGAATCAGCCTAGAAATAGACTACCAAAAAAGATGGACTCTATATAGAAGCAGAACCAAGTGAAGACTCTGAATGTTTTACAGAAAGATGATAATGGTAGACAGAATAAGAAGGGAAGTCCAACAGAAAAAAAAAGTAATTCACTTCGAATAATAAGGGCT